CTCCCTTTACTACTAACAAATGTATCTCATGGGTATCCTTACATTCTTTCATAAATTCAACAAAATGATGCTGTACATCTCTCATGGGAGGGAGTTCATTTGGTAATTCATTTGGAACTATATCATGGAATTCATCCAATAGTCCCTACACTTCCACTGAAATTTTATTTTCCTCCAGAGTCTCATTCATATGTTCTCCCTTTACTACTAACAAATATACCTCATGGGTATCCTTACATTCTTTCATAAATTCAGCAAAATGATGGGTAATAGTAAGAAATTTTTTCTCATTTGCTTTTGGGACCTTAGGAATATTCTTTTCAGCCATGGGTAACAAGGTGTAGCGTATACCTTCCTTTTCAAGTTGGTAGGTATTCTTCCTACCCATGTGCCTTGCATCTATATCAAATTGCCAAGGCCTACCCAACAAAATATGGCAAGCATCCATGTTTACAATATCACAATATACTTCATCATTGTACTTACCAATAGAAAATGGTACCTTGCAGCGTTCCTCTACTCGTACGCCGCCTCCTTCCTTNTACTTACCAATAGAAAATGGTACCTTGCAGCGTTCCTCTACTCGTACGCCGCCTCCTTCCTTAATCCACCCAATTGTGTATGGGTTTGGATGTTTTTCAAGAAGTAATTGTAACTTGTGTATGACATCCCTGCAAATAATATTTTCTTGACTGCCACTATTAATAATTAAATCAAATAATTTACCCTTGATAGTACATCTAGTACGGAACAATCTGTGCCTTTGAGAGGTATCTTGATTTTTCTGGGACAACATTAATTTTCTTACAACACAAGTATACTCTTGATGTTCGTATGGACCCTCTTCATCTTCCCCATCAGGTCCACAGTATACTTCCTCCTCCACATCTTCTTCCTCCTCCCTTTCTACCATATTAACTGCCTTCCTCCTAGGACAATCACTGGACCTATGTCCAACCTCATTACATTTAAAGCATTTAATAGGAGCAGGCTTTGCATAGGGATTACTGGGTTTAGGAGGTTTGGAAGGGTTACCTCGAGTATGTCCTCCTGTGGGAACCTTACCAGCGTTAGTTGTACTTGCCAGGTGGGAAGGCTGAACTGCTGGGACTTATTTGTTCCTGTCGACAGTTGCCGGCCTGTTGTCACTCCCGCTGTACCGGCGATAATTATCACTACGTGCCTTGTCTTGGAACATCAATTCTGCTTTCAAGGCTAGGTTCCTTGCTTCCTGCACACTAAGAACCATCTGTACACCAATTTTATCTCTAATGGACGGTCTCAAACCGCTCAGATAACGGATTGCCTGTTGGTTATCACTCTCAGATAATTGATTTCTTTCAGCTAATCTAAAAAATTCAGATGTATATTCATTAACACTACGAGAACCCTGCGCACACCATTGGTAAGATTCAAACATGTACTGTTCATAATATGGGGGTAAAAATCTACCTCTTATAAGCTGTTTCATGCGCCTCCAGGTTCGAACAAGACCCCTTCCTTCTTTGATCCAAGTCTCTCTCATGCGTTCCCACCAAACAGATGCGCCTCCCATTAATCGGAAAGCCACCAATTTGACCCTTCGTTCCTCTGGTATCTCCATGTACTCTAAGAAATGATCGACTTTTGTGATCCAGTCTAGAAGTCTCTCTATGCCAAGATCTCCACTAAAAGTACGAATGTCTACCTTGAGTTTAAATTCATCACTATTCCTATGGGGACTGAAATTACCTTGATTGTGCCAATTTTTGTCGTTTCTGTCGTTGTCGGGAAAAACTGGAGCACCACCGAATTCTAACTCATCATCACTATCGCCATCAAGAACTGGACGTCGGAACGCAGTATTGATGGGTGGTCTGTCGTGGTCGTCTCCTTCGGTTGGATGTGGATTCTCCCGGTTCCGTGGAACAACCTCCCGTAACAAGGTTCGCAGTTGTTCAGCCATCTCTGCCAACTGTTGTTCGATGTTACGTGTGGCCGTGCGCTACTCTTCAATTGCTCTCCAAACAGCTGGGAACTCCTAGTCTCCGTCACGGGGTGGGTTGCGACTGCTACCGTTTTGGTTGGCCATATGACTGGGCGAATTCCTTGCTTTGATACCACCTGACGCAGCGTGAAAGCGATAAACCGGGCTGGCTATGCAAGCACCGGGCGAACCAAGTTTCTAGCGAAGCAAGAAARAGARAAAWYTCTAGAGGAGAGAGAAAAGGTGGCGAGAATTGAATAGAAAATCTGAAGTGTGTATTAACTGAAAACAATAGCAGTATTTATAATACATCTTGAAATCATAGAGTAACTAGGAAAGAACAACTATGATAAATATCAAAACATCTAATCTGTATAGGATTGGATTCTTTGCCATGATCTTCACCGTCCGATCTCCATGCATGAATCTTGGAAGTCTTGGATTATCTTGATCTCTTGAATTCTTGATTATCTTGAATTCTTGAGTTCTTGATTATCTTGAATTCTTGAGTTCTTGGTTATCTTGAATTCTTGAATTCTTGATTATCTTGAATTCTTGAGTTCTTGATTATCTTGAATTCTTGAATTCTTGATGGATCTTGAATCATTTCTTGACTTATCTCTTTCTTAGATCTTGACTTATCCTTATCCTAGGAGCTGCCGCCCCTAAGGTGATGTGGGCCTTGTGATGGGCCTCCATCACATTGGTTGGGGGCTTGGGGCTGACTGCTGAGCACTGATGATAATTTTTTGTAATATTTGAAGATTTTATTTTACGAATTTATAAATAAAGTTTTAGATTGTTCAGCTAAGAAATTATAAGAGATTGTGAAACAAAGAGCTAAAATCGTCATTTTTTTCACTTTTTGCATAAAATGAATCACAATATATGAATAATATGGTTTTTTCAAAAATGAGGTCAAGACTATCAATAATATTTATACATATCTTAAATAATGTAAACATAATACAAGCATCCCTACTGTCGGCTTAACTATCATAAAATATATTAACTAGAAAAAATCAATATAAAGATACAAAAGGATCTGAACCTACAAAAGTTAAAGAAATCACTAACATTAAACTGAATATGTTTCAGAAGCAAAAGAGAGTCTCACCTGTTAATGTCGGTACCTAGTTGTCTATCTGGTGGTGAGAAAGCCAAGATCGAGGTCTCCCTCTGGTCCGGTTGTGAGAAAATCTGGACCGAGGTTGTTCTCCGATTGTGAGAAAGTTGAGATCGAGGTTGTCCTTTAGTTGCTGTCCGGTTGTGAGAAAATCCAGACCGAGGTCGTTCTCTGGTTGTGAGAAAGTTGGGAGAGAGGTCAGCAATGTTTTTAAACGACCACTGCTATATATTAGTATTATTAACGCTGCCGGTTTATAGCCACTTCTTGAACTACCGCAACAAATAATATATATTTTTTTTGTAGTGAGAGGTACTGTTCAAAACTAACCATCGGAATTGTAAAAGTAGCAAAGGTCAAAGAGTTCCTGTAATTCCCACACGAGCACATGCGGCATGATGTGGTTGAGCACATGCAACTCTTCGGCACTGCTCGTGTAATTGTCAGCTATCGAGTTGCTTGAATTCGAAGACGCATCATTGATTTGGAATCTCGATGCGGAGATATTGCGTTTGAAAGTTGAATTCCTTCTTGTATAGCTTGTCTCTTCTAGAGTTTCATAATGTATTCAAAGTGGATTTGGAGAGTATACAAAGAAGAAGAAGAGGGACGAAGGTAAAATTGTGTTTTAAGAAAAATTATAGGTCTCGTGTGTATAATTTTAATGGAATATTAACGAATACTAATGGTAAGAGTAGAATCAAATAGTAGGGATAACGTTAGACAATAATCAAACAATAAAGATATATTTAATCCATTAATTAAATTATAAGAATAATTTAAGAAATTTACTCAATTTTTATTTGATTTTAATCGAAAAATACTCGCCCCTATTCGGATATGAAAAATGTGTCTTATTGGATCCACGAGCAAAGCAATATCGACCAAAAGATCAACCTTCACAGGAAGGGGTAGGTATGACATACTGTTCAGGTTAGAAAATAAACAACAACGAAGCACCTTCCCGGCATACGCAACAGCAACACCTTGCTGGATTAGGAATTGGCTCCCTGACGTATGAAGCACCTTGCAGGGGGTTCAGGTCTGCTAGACAACATTGGTGTCGAGGCGAGGGATTTGATGCTGTCGACAGCAAATTTACTGGCGTCACACCCTTTAGTCATCGAGACCGGATCTGCTCTTCCACAAAGGGCGCTTCACTCATGCCTTGCACGCACATCGTATCATGCATTGGAAATATCTTTCGTATTTATGAATTATGATTAATGGAAGAAGTTCTCAATGCACGGTGGATGTGCATGTGAGACACCCCGTGTGAGGAGCAGATCCCATTCCTTAGTCATCGTGAGAAGCAATCTCCTTATGCAAGTCCCTTTCTGTAGCTATCCCTCTCTCTATGGCATCCTTATGAAAGTCCCTCTCACACAGTGGTTAGGGTTTGGGACAAGACCGGCTTCAGTCAGAGCAAGGCTCATTCAAACAATGTTAGAACAGCTTTTACAACTTTTGATCGAAATATTTCCTACTTCTATACTTTATTTCATGGAGAGATATTCCCAATGCAAGGCAATGATAGCTGTTCGAATGGATTTGATCCGACTAAATCCGGCCAGAGTGTTTTTATCAAATTTCAATGATAGGCAAAGCACGCAGATCACTCTCCCTCAATCATCACATCACCGTCCATGTTAGCACCACGTCATATGCGCATTTCGTGAAACATGAAACCGTTGGGGGAAGCAAAAAATCTACCATTTTCATTTATTGGTGTTTTCTCGATAAACAATCACACCGAACATGCATTTAAATTTTAATAAACTTTTATCGCGCCAAACGTGGCGCCTAACGGCGTTTTATTGAAAAAACGCCCACGGTTCCAAATACGCTTATACGGTCCGAATCCGATTAGTTGGCAGTTGCTGTGCCCACGATAAGTATTTCTTAAGTCGTCATGTCACGTGTATAACTATAATTTCTCGAGTGTCCGCGGGGAGAAACCTACGCGATTTTCGAGTTTCAACGCGAGATCGGTTCCGAGACCCACTACTGTCACCGTAAGTTTACTTCGATCTACATCTAATTATCTTCTTGTCCTCGATTTCTCTTTCTTTTTGTTTAATTTCGTTTATAAAGTTATACACATTTGATGCGATTTAATTTCTAATTCTTGTCTGTTCAATCTGATCTTCTTACAAAGAAAATCTAATTTTTTTTTTGTTCACTTTTGATTGCTCGTATTGCAATATTCAGAATTCGAGAATCCAATTTTCTGTTTTAGAGTTTTGGGCTGCACATATAAGTGCTAAATTTGGGGGATCTAGATCTATGATGCTTTTGTGTTTTTTCTTTTCTTTTCTTTGGCTGCATTTTAAGGTACTAGGGTTTTATATTTACAGAGAGAATTATAGTACTTTTCCTGAGGATTTCCTATGCCAATGGCTCTAAGATTTAGACTACTGATGATAAAAAGGAAAATTTTTACTATTAATTAGTTTAGATGTTCTTTTTTTTTTTTGGTAAAAAATTTAGATGTTCAAAGATAGGGAAAAGATACTTTTCCATCTGCTGGCGGAGGAAAACTGCTTATGGGTCCGAATCGTTTTTCAAGTTCTTCGTATTCTTATCTGGTGTGTCGGTAGAATGAGGAAAGAAAAAACGCAGAACGGTGGTTTGTGATTTTCTTTAAGGGCTTTTAGCCGATAAGGGCAACTTTTTGCCCTTAATATCAATAAAAATAATAATTTTTATATAATAATTAAAATATTTGAGAAAAATATCAACTAAGGGCACTATACAGTACTCTTGTTCGTCTTCCTCCGCTAATAAAGAAAGAGTTACCTGTGCCAAAGAAGAGTTTTAATGTTTTAAGAGATGAATCGATATAGCCGCACGATTCCTCACCATGAAAAAGGAAAGGAAAAAATCTGAAATAAAACCGGTAAAAATCATGGAATGGACATCGACCTCCTCTCCGAACTGCTGTTCCAACGCCGGAAAATTAGGAATTTCTGGTGATAAACCGCCTAACATGAACTTCCCTGAAACCACTCCTGTTTTCTTCTCTTCTCTCCTCTCTCAAAGTAGTCAATTGGATGAAAAACAAAAACCGCACTCCTCATAGTTCGTCGATTTAGCTCCTGGCTTCACTTCGCCCAGTCTCTCTTTCTCTCTCATGGAAACCTCCAAACCCCCACCGCCATTGCGACCTTCAAGTAACGAAACCACTTTCATCTCATGATTCTCATCGTCTGTGTTTTCGAATCCAGATCCTGAGATTTTCAATAATTATATGAAAACTATTATTTTTATTGATATTAAGGGCAAAAAGTTGCCCTTATCGGCTAGAAGCCCTTTCTTTAATCGTCTCAGAGACCCATTTGATTTAGTCTTTACATGCATATAACTCATGGATCCTCATATACGGACAAAGATATACCTTCTTGAATTCAACTCAAATAAGCCTTTGGAGCTGTTTGATAACTACCGAATTGCTTATTAATTTGGCTTCTGCTAGATAAAATAATCACATAATGAAACATTTAGGGTTAAATAGTCAGTTTAGCATGCCATTCATTGATTAAGAAATGGCCTCTTACTCTAACTACTGGATTGACAAACCCCGCTACGTAGTTCCTCTCTGTTTAGACCTTATCTTTATTGGTCAAGTTGAATCTCACTATATCTGCCCAGAAAACAACGCTCATGCATGCTAATGGGCAGAAATTTTTTTCACTCTGAAAAGTTTCAATATTTCTATCCCTTTGAAGCAAAAGGGTTGTCCGTCACCCCCAACTATTCACATTGAAAGACATGCTGCCTATAGGAGGGAAAATAAAATAAAAAAAAGAGTGTCTTTTGGTTTTGATGTTCTGTATGGTGACCATGCATTTGACCTTTATGATCTTAATCCTACTCCTACCAAGTTCAGTTTTGTCCTTGATAGATGGATGCTTTTCTTAGGGTGACATATGGTTTACATATTGACTTGGATAATTCCTTATAGCTATATTTTTGAAATAACTCGTGTTTTGATAACTGCTATAGAGGAGATTTACCTGCGTTGGATTTAATAGGTTTTCTTATTATATAGTTCATAGCATTTTCAGTTAAGATCACATCTGTAGTTTTTTAGATCATTAATTAATCAGCAGTTGGTTCATATTTGCACATTGATGTTCCTATTCATGAAAGAGTGCAATCACTGAATCAGAAGCCACGGCAGAGGAGTGTTATTGTCTGGTTATTTTTTGCATTTGTTGGAATACAGAATGTGTATCTGGTAGTACTTATTATAGATATGAAGAGCATAAGTGTCCTAGACTAGCTAAGTGAAGCTCCTTATCTCCTTCCCCTTCCAAAACAAAATGGAAAAAAACTGAGAGCTTTGCTGTTTTCTGTATTCTTTCGTGAAGTGGGAACTTAAGTGACTAGAGTGCAGAATGACAGCACAACAATTGGAGCACTTACCTTGAATATTGAGAATATTCCCACTTCATACTATATACACACTTTTCAACTTCCAGATCATATTGATGTTCATGATGATAATAGTAGTATTATGGTTCTCGTACAATTTATAAACCTGTACTTGTGAAGAAAAAACGGAATTCATGTTTCTGCAGAAACAAATTTTCAATATCATTTCTGTTATCTAACTTGGATTATGGTAGTTCTGAATTACTACTAATAGCATKTGGTGTTGTTTGTTTCTTCTGCTCTTTTGCAGATGATTGACGACCGAGATTTGGGATTCATTGCCAATTTTCTTGGCATTTTTATAATTGCTCTTTTAATTGCTTATCATTATGTGATGGCTGATCCAAAATATGAAGGCAACTGAAAATTTGTCTGTTAACCTTGAACAAATACATGTCATCAATTTTGTTAAGAGAACTATTTTACAAGTGGAAATAGGTTTGATGTAGTTAACAGATTTTCACCCTTTCCCAGTGCATTAATGTTATGATTGCTCTGCTATTGTAAAGGGATGTTAATATGAGTTGGCGTAATCTTTGTTTCTCAACTTGTGGGTAGAGGCATATGTTTCTAACTAGAGATCATATCAGCACCCTGTGGGGCACGCCCCACATGCACATCTCAGTGTTCATTGGGAACATCTCCCATGACAAGATGTTCCCAATACACGGTTGGAATGCGCTTTGGGGCGCTGATGTGAACTCTTCTAACTAGTATTATTGAATGGTTGGAATGGTCTGAGCAAGATGTTGGTCCGATGAGTGCTCTGTTTGCGTTGAGATTGATCAAGGTACTCTTTTGTGTTAAACTAACATGACATACCTTTGGCTTGGATGGTTATACTTGTATTGCCAAGTTGGTAGTTTTATGGGTATTTTGTTTTGTTGAGATGTATAAAAGCCATCACTACCTTGGAACAATTGAAAGGGGTCATGAAGTCATGCCATTGTTAAGATTTAAATGATGAGTTGGCCCTATGGCTGTGCCCTTAGCCGAAGTTTCTATAATGGTTGAAGGAGTAATTCAGCAGTTAGGATGCAATTATCATCTGTGAGTTCGGCTTCAGTCAGGGCAAAGCCCATTCGGGCAGATTTTACTGTCTTGCATTGAGAATATCTCTGTATTTGTGTACTTTATTTCATGGGGAGATATTCCTAATGCAAGGTTACAAAAGGCTGTTAGAATGGTGTGGGTACAGATTTTCGCTGATAGAAAGGATCACCATGTTAGAGGTCTTGAATATAATGATCCTTCTGTGCTGCATTCACCCAATCCATATTTTATTTGTTCCTAACTGAACTGTATGTAAAAGAGGCTTTGGTACTCTCCCTTTTCTCCTAGCCATATTTGCAAGGGTAAATGCTTGGATTTCTTGTATGCATGATTTTAAATGTCAATTTCCATAATTCAGTTTCACACAGCCTGACAATTGCACGTAGTTGTAGATTTGCTAAGTAGGTTCTTGCAGGGTGTAGTGCTCGATTGGTTACCAACCATCAACATAATGCCCCAAGTAATTGAAGAAGCAAAAGGACCATTTAAAACCAGGAAAAAGAAAAGCATATAGTAAGACATGATTTCTGTTGGTAAAAGTAGTGAGGCATGATTAAAATATGCAAGGTGGAGTGTTGTTAGGGAGTTAGATATTTCATCCTTGCATCCATCGTTAGAAGAGAAAATCAAGTTCATAACCGTCATCCTTTGCCCACAAGGGGTGGGACTATTTCTTGTTGCATCTGAATGCATTATTGGGTAACTGTTTTTTAAACGTCGGAGTTAAGGTTTGAATCCAGTCTGCTCCTAAAACCCCAAGTAGCAGGGACCAACGTTGGGTGATGGTTTATGATATTTGTATCCTGTGCTTGTGAACCTCCATCAATAGCCCTTGCAGCGGCAATTTCTTCCAAGGACAAGATAGATATGCTTCGAATATTTGCCTCAACAAGAACACTGCTGCTGGCCTGCCGCCACCATCTGTCAGAGAAATGGAGCAACAACCATTATAAATGGCCAAACATAAGAACTAAACAGTAAGGCTCTATCTGCTTCAATGTAAAATGGATAGAAAACTTTTCAGGCTGAAATGTTTTTACCTATATTTACACAAGGTTTTTAAAACTGAATCGGACAACGAACCGGTCAGGGGTCCTGTTCCTGGGCCGGATGAATCAAATGGATGGCTCATTCTGACAAAGAACGGCTAAAACCATTGGATGGTTCGAATGATTCAAACGGTTTGACCGTCTGAATTAGCAGTTTGCTGACCAAATCAATGGTTTTTGGTGAAATAACGATTCTGGTAAAATGGAACCGGTCACCTGACCGTTTTCCGGTTTTTCCAGTCTGACCGTCTGATTTTGAAAACCATGATCCACTGGACGAACATTCTCTCCCAACTGCGCGAGTTGTTTCACTTGCCAAGTCTGCCGGTTATTCAACTTTCAAACATGAATGGGAACTGTAGTTGTATAATTTTTGCCATTCTGAAGTTTTGTTATTAAAGGGAAAGGCCTACTTGTCGGAAATCTTCAATGTGGCCAACTTTCTAAATTGAGAGGTCTAAACGACAGGAATCTTCAATGTGGCTAGATGGTTGGTGGGTCTAAACGGCCTTAGCCACACTTCGGGTTATCCTTTGTTCAATGGGCCTTTTTTTTTAAAAAGAAAGAAATAAAAACAAAAGAACTTAAGGCTATGTTTGGTTTGAAGGAAAATGCAGGAAAAGGAAGAGAAAAGTAGGGAAACTCATACAAGGTTTGTAAAGGTTCCCCACCTTACCTTACTTTTTCCTTCAAACCAAACACAGCCTAAGGGAACCCTATTCTAAATTTGAAAGCATACTCTGAAAGAATGATTCTCTTTTGTGCCTTTTTCCTTGAAAGTTGAAACCACAGCCCATAGAACCCCCAGATTCGAGAGTTTTGCACTATAACTTGCATACCAAAATTGTGGTTTGAAATGAAAGCCTCAACGAGTATTTGGAACTGCAGTGTTAGTGTTTCCATTTAGCCTCCACATAAACACCTTGTAAATGTAAGGTTCAAAGTATCAATACAATATATCTGATACAGGGTGTATGTATTAGTTTTCAGGGTCATTGATACTCTAAATTTAAACAACTAAGTTATTTTGTCTTATTTAAATGTTAACAGGTGATGCGATATATTACCTGATAAACTGCTATAAAAAACAAATTAAAGAAAGCAAATGAAACTCTCTTAGATATGCTACTTTTGTGTATCAGTACTTTTAACCATGAGTACACATTTTAACTACAAAAATCAGATTTGGTTAGGCAAATTCAAATACAAACATTTCTATCATCATTTATGTCGGGTTATGCACAAGGGGGTGTGAGTAGGTGCCAATTGGACTGAATTTGGTCTAATTCGATCCAATCCAATATGAGTCTATTATAAATGGACCAGGTCCAATCCAATCCAATGATTGTTTTAGACCAATTTGAACCAGTCCAATTCAATGTCTGGACCGTCTAATCTGTTCAAATTCATTTTGATTTAGATTGGTTTCAACTCAAACCCAGTCCATTGACACATATATTCTTATCTTATATCAATGGACCAGATATTAGCTTAATCCAACCCAATCTAATATAAATTTGTTACGGATGAACCAGGTCCAATCCAATCTCATAAATATTTTAGACCGGATTAGTTCCAGTCCAATGTCTTATTGATCCGTCCAAATTGATTTTGGACTGGACGGGATCCAATCCAAAACCGGTCCATTGACACCCTTAGGTGTAAGAAGAAAACTTTTTTTTTCTTTAGTTATCTTATGTGATCTCTAGTGGCAGTGTGACACATACTTAAAAGTACAATTGACAATATGTACCAAAAACACCTCGCTTTACTAATATTCAATTCGATAAATCATGCACAATTAAGACTTAACTCACCATGGTACCAAGCATCACCGAATGGTGTAATCATTTACGAAATTATCATTAAGGCTGTGTTTGGTTTGAAGGAAAAGGAAGGAATAGGTAGGGAAACCTATTCGAATAGGTTTCCTTCAAACCAATCACAAGCCTGAATGATCATTACCAATAATCTTGGGAGATCAAATCTCCACAGAAAATAGGACAATTACACCAAAATAGTAGAAGCAAGAAATACGTTGGCTTAATACCGTGGCATAAAGAAAATCAGTGGTTACCAATAGAAAATAAAGAAAATAAAAGAAAATTTATGTACATGGACTAGATGTACAAGAGAATGACAACACATGCCCCAAACAACAGAATCTGGCACACGAAAATAGCAGTTATATTGAGAGGTGGCAACCAAAATAATTGTTTTCGACAAAACATTTTTTGGTTGGGTGAGGGTTAAATAAATTGGGGAAAGCAGCTTCCTAATGTCAGCTTTGTTTTCTCAGGATTTAAGCTGCACTAATTGGAGGTGGAGATGCTTTTTTTTTGTGAAGTCTCACCATCTTCCCGAATACCAATTTCTCTCACCCCACTGTCCTCAATATCAATGTTTCTCACACCACTGCAGCTTTCTTCCACACCCTTATCATCCTCTTCATCAGCTTCGTCATTCAAAAGAGATCCCTTCTGTTGGAGTTCTTTCACCTTTCGGTACTCATCATAATGTGCTTTTCTGTGTTCTCTAAAGCTCAAACTGCTCCTATCAGCTTCAGAATCTGAGGAAATACCAAAACAAGAGGGGTAAAAGAATAACTGCTAGTAAGAAACAACGAACTCTATATTCTAAGTTCAGATTAAATACGAAATCAAGTATATCTCAGAAAAAACTGCAGAAACATGTTAACAATTCCATCTTTATTATAGAGTGTAGTTTAATGGAGTAGGAATTTAAGAAGATCAGAAGAATTGGCCATTGGCAGAGGGCATGAGATCATGCCATAATGATGAGTCCGATCTTAAAAAAAAAATGAAGAAATGAGTGGAACTTGTTTAAAAGGTCAAGCATAACAAATAATAAGCAAATAATAAAGACAATAATGGATTATGAATTTATAAGAAGGGTAGGTGGAGCGAGAAAAAAGTCAGGTAGCAAATTTTGAAAGTTCAAACTACTAGGTCTGAGTTAAGAGAACCTTCATTGTCCTGTTCCATGGCATCTGCCTCATCCTCAGAAGACCAACCCCCTGAATGGCTGGAGTGGTTTCTACTCGAGGAAGCTACATCATTCAAAGCAGTCCGAATAGCTTCAGCATGAATAACATCATCAATGCATTCATCAAAAGCCCGCCGCCCGGGCGGAGGACCTACATGAGCAGACACTATCAAGTTAACATTACCAACAATTATCCAATTTTATATTCATGATAGAGTTAGACAATGGGCAATACCATCATCATCACCACCATCATCATCATCATCAATCATAGGGTGGTACGGAGTCTTGGGCTCAGTGATTTTCTGCCTTACAGGTTTATTAGCTTCAATTTCAGATAAGTTTGCCTCATTCCATCTCACGTGTCCCCTGATCTCCAAACAATCATGAAAAGAATTGTATTTATTACTGATAACTGGCTCAAAGATGCATAGAACATATTGTTGTAAAACTAAAATATACATCCAGTAACATGTACATATGACCAGCTTAATGTAAATATGAACTTCAAATCATTCACAAGCAATCTATCCTCCAACTCCACTAACACTCTTGCAATGAAACCTGACCAATTTACTTTATCAATAATGACAATCTTTTACAGGAGAACTGCAACAAAGCTCTTTATCACCATCCAAACAAGAACTGGTCAAATAACAAGGACCAAAAATTCTGTTACATTAATATCCCGCATGTGGTCATGATATAATGTAAACATCCACTATCATGTAAATTTTGGTCCATTACAATGTCAATAAAATTATATCGTATCTTATTTGTTTTATCAATATCAAATTTAATAGTAAAACAAAATATAAGAATGTGAGGAGATGCATGTTACTGAGTCCAAAAATATGAACTTAGTAGTTTTTATTTTTTCTAAATTAAGCCATAAGCTGTTTCAAAAAATAGAAGGCATTTCCCCTTTTTGGTAATCGCATTTCCTCTCTTTTTTCAAGAGAACTTCACAATGTCATAGCATGCCATCAGATGAGAATCCTCCTCTACCAACCTATGTTCCAAGGAATATGCCAAGGCAATATATTCCTTTTGGATCTGTAGTAGCACCAAGCAGGCCAGCACTGAATTAGGGGTGGCCACGAACCGAGCTCTTCACAAGCTACTCGAGCTCGGCTTGTGAGGCTCGCGAGCTGGCTCGAATATATATATATATATATCTATATTATATTATATATATATATAATATAATATAATATAATATAATTATAGAAAATAATATATATAATAAAAATATTATAATTCTTATTTTTTTAAATATCAAATAAAAAATATTTTTATATAATTTTTAATTTTTATAAAATATTTTTTCTCAAGTCGAGCTCGAGCTCGAGCCTCATACTATTCGGCTCGGCTCGAATCCACCCCTACACTGAATAATTTCATACTCATAATGCAATAAGGGAATATGAAATACTATTTTTATTCAGTGACATTTAGAACTCTATTAATTATATGAGGAATATATGTACAGTACACTGCATCAATTCTCTTTTTTAAATACAGTAGAGTAGCACAATGCTGTTCTCCCCAGCTCCTAGATAATACTTCTGTACCACCTCATTTATTCTAAAGGATATCCTTCCCAAACCAGCTGCTTCCTGTTCATTTCTTGTTGAGCTAATGAACCAGCAAGAGAATTTATGGACCGTTAGAATCCAAGGAAAAACTGGTTCCATGCAGTTAGCAGAATGCCTTTTTCTAAAATTCCAAGGTCCTTCCCTTTCTTCAGTATCTATTAACATCAAAATGAAATACCACGGTCATGGTTTTGTTATTTAAATCCTTAAAATGCCACATGTGCTTCCTGAATGACTCATTTTATAATGGTAGGACATTTCCAAAAGAAGGGAAAACCTTTTTCACCAATTTTCCAGCATTAACAGGATCAATCAGATTTATAGGATTGAAAGTAGAAATAATTACTATCCCTTGCTGAGGCAAGCTTAATCAAGAAATCCATCATAATTCAGGTATACATATCTAACTAGAAGATATCAATTGAGCTTTTAAGCAGTCATTTATAGTATTTGCTTGTAGGCAGATACAATAGTGTGCCATAGAATGAATACAATACACCAATGCTGATAAATATAAATTGTAAACTCAATGATCCTTGGTTGAAGTTGATCAATAAAATCTTAAAAAGCTCCAAATAATTGGATTAAATGCATAAAAATACCTCATTTCTTCTAACACTGATCTGCTCAACTGAACCACAACACGCTAAGCACTGGCCAGTTGTTGAAATGACCTAATTTCACAGAAAAAAAAAATACCAGTCTTATTTCTTCTCTCAACATCTTAAGAAAATCTCCATAATTTATCAATAGTCCAGGTTTACTGTTAAAAAATGACAGCCTGGAATACTGATCAACATGGTTATTACGTTTGCCATCTATGTGGCATCCCAAAATTGTTCACAGGATTCTCCATTACCCTCTTTATATGCGACAAATTCCAGACAAAAAGTCCTTGCCACATCAAAAATGTCATTTTTACCGTCTCTTATGCACAAAATCAATAAATTCATAGAGGATAAACACAATACAAAGCAAGGTATCAGGTAAAACTTGACAAGGAAATAGATAGGGGGCTAATTCAAAGGGTCTCTTAGGGCAGCCCAGTGCATAGGGCTCCCACCAATGCGGGTCTGGGGAGGGACATGTACACAGCCTTACCCCTGTACATACAAAGGCTGTTTCCAATCAAAGGGTCTCTAAAAAGGAGGTATAAATGAGGCTATACAGTATTAGGGCTGACAATCTTGACCCCAACCCATTTGACCCACCCATATCCACCCAATCTATTAGTGGATCAATATGGGTTGAGCAAACTCATTAGGGTCAGTAGAAAAGGGTTAGGGTGGGTTGGGTCGAGGGTACCCATTAGGGTCAAGATGGGTTGGGTCACTCTATCTACACTCGCCAAATATCAAAAAACGGAAGTTGTAGAGATTCGAACCCAAGCCTCATGATTAGGGTTCAAGTCTCTTAATTTACATTCTTTAACATACATGCATAATAAAGTAATATGTACAATAAAGTCATTAATTAACACAAATTAAGAGGTGGACTAATGGTAATTAAGCAATATATAAAAATAAGAGGTCATGGATTTGAATCTTGCTAAGCACATTTTAAAATTTCTATTAGTTAAAGACCCAGGTGGTTTCATGAAACCAAGACTGGTTCACCAGTTTTTCAATTAAAACGGCTGGTCAGCCGGTTTTTTAACGAAAGCGGTTATTGGAGTAGGACCGGACCCACCAAGGTCTTGGGTCACAATTCAAGTGTTCAACCGGGCCGACCAACCAGTCCAGTCTGGTTTTCTAAACACTAGAAGAAAGTTGTTGGCAATGATAAGTTATGGAGCACTCATTGTCAGAAGTCTAGACATACTTGTGATACATGTTGAGATCTTCATAGGAAGCCAAAATGGGCCCATGAGTTGAATAAGAAATCAAATCAAAATAAGAAACCAAGACAACAAGGTCAGAAGACGTTTAATGCAGCAAACATGGCCTCTCAGGAGTCTCAACCATCTACCACACTACCTTGAGCTAGGGACGCTCTTCTGTGACCGATCCCAAGGAAGATATCATTAATTCCTTCCGTGACCATTTGGAGCTGTAGGGCAATCCGTTAGATGGATTATGCTCATCCTTCAATTTCATTTACGTGTACATCAAGTAATGGTAAGTTTGCCACAACTTTCCATGTGTCATCTCATCCCTCAAACTCCCCTTGGATAATAAATTTTGGAGCCCCAAACCATATATTGGTAAGTCAAATTGTTTGCAATCCTATCATCTTGTGTTTGCCAGGGACAAGATGAAATAGGCTAATGGTTCCTTTTCCACCATAGTTGGTCAAGGAACCATCTCCTTTCCCTTTGGACTTACCCTTTCTAATGTGTTACATGTTCTAAAATTGCCTATAAACTTGTTCTCTGTTAGTAGTATTACAAACTTGTTAAACTACTCAGCGACCTTTTTTTTCCTTCTTCTTGTATGATACATGATTTGGCCTCAGGGAAGATGATTAGTAGATGTCGTATGGTGAATGGTCTCTACATGCTGGAGAATAAAGCTAGTCTTGCAGTTACTAAGTCTAAGAGTCAATCTAGTAAGAAAGAGTCAAATCTACTTATGGCATAGTTGTTTGAGTCACTTATTTTTTGAATCATTAAAGTTTTTGTTTCCAGAATTGTTCAAGTCAGTGCCAGTGTCTGAACTCACATGTCAAACTTGTTAGTTGAGCAAACATCATAGAAATCATTTTGCTTTAAGAAATAATAAATCTGATTTTCCTTTCTACATTGTCTATTTTGATGTTTGGGGCCCTGGTACTTTACCCTCTAAGATTGACTATAAATTCTTTATTACATTTATTGATGACTACTCCAGATATACATGGGTGTATCCAATGCGATCCAAAGATGGAAGTGCCAAAGATTTTAAAAGATTTCCAACCCATGATTTTCACTTAATTTCAGATGGAGGTCCACATTTTCCAATTTGACAATGCTAAAGAGTATTTCCATATTGACGCCACGGAACTTTTTGCTTCATGTGGATCCATTCATTATAATTCTTGTGTCAAAAGTCAAAACACCCCAACGGAATAGTGTTGCAGAAAGGAAAAATCACCATCTCCTTGAAGTTGCTCATGGGCTACTCACACATATGAATGTTACAAAATGTTTTTGCATGGATGTTATTTTATGTGATGCCTATCTTGTCAACCATCTCGCTTCTTAGAATACAAGGCCCTTCTTCAGCTCTTGTTCCCCAAAGCTCCCTTATTTTCTTTTCCTATTTATGCGTGTGGTTGTCGTTGTTTTGTTCAAGACTTGTCTCTTTGTGGTAAACTTGATCCTCGTACTATTCCATGTGTATTCTTGGGATACCCATCTTCTCAAAAGAGTTACTGGTGTTTTGAACCCGTTTCTAGGAAATATTATGTTTCTATGGATGTATCTTTCTTTGAGAGTGATCCTTTTTTTTCCTGTTTCTCCTCAGGGGGAGAATAAGGTAGAGGAGAAGAATCAAGTCCAAGTCCTTCCTCCATTACCTGACCCTCCTCTGTTCCGTGTTTTGGTTTGTCATTGCAAGAGGCAATTGAGTTCAAGAGCTGTGGAGCAACTTGAAGTTGTATCACCAACATCATCAGATTCATCGGAGGTAGATCCTACCCAGTCAGGTGTAAGTGCAAGAGCCAATTGGCGCCTTAAAAACTATGGAAGAGATCAATGCCTTACATAAAAATGATACATGGGAGTTAGTGGATCTTCTTGAAGGTAAGGAACCAATAGGGTGTAAGTGGATGTTCATGGTGAAGCACATGGTTGATGTCACAGTGGAAAGGTATAAAGCCCGGTTGGTGGCAAAAGGCTTTACTCAGGTGTATGGAGTAGATTATGCAAAGACATTTGCTCTAGTAGCTAAAATGAATTTCATCAGAGTCCTTTTATCTCTAGTTGTTAACCTTGATTGGGATCTTCATCAGTTAGATATCAAAAATGCCTTCCTGAATGGTGGTCTCGAATAAGAAGTGTACATGGTTCAACCTTCTGAATTTTGTGTCTAAGGCAAAGAACAAAAAGTGCAAAGGTTAAAGAAGTCTTTGTATGGACTAAAACAATTACCAAGAGCTTGGTTCAACAAGTTTCATCTAGTTATGTAGCAGATGGTTACAAACAATGCTAGACTGATCATACATTATTTGTGGAAAGAGAAGGAAAGGTTGCAGCCTTGATACATTCTTAGCCACTCATTTTGAGGTAAAGGATCTAGGTCCCTTATGGTATTTCCTTGGAATTGAAGTAGCCTGCTCACAAAAGGGGATCTTCATTTCACAAAGGAAATACATCCTAGATCTGTTACAAGATTCGAGAAAACTAGGGGTGAAGCCAACTGACTCTCCCATTGATGCAAATCATAGACTGGGTGATTGTTGTGGTGAGACTATCAAAGATGTAAAGCAATTCTAGAAACTTATGGGAAGGCTATTGTACTTGTCCATGACCTTGACCAGACATTGCTTATGTCATGGGTGTTCTTAGTCAATTCATGCATGCCCCTAAGACCACACATTTAGAGGCAACTGAGAGAATCCTTAGGTACTTAAAGAAGTTTTTAGGACTCACAAAAGGGGATCTTCATTTCACAAAGGAAATACATCCTAGATCTATTACAAGATTCAAGAAAACTAGGGGTTAAGCCAACTGACTATCCCGTTGATGCAAATCATAGACTGGGTGATTGTTGTGGTGAGACTATCAAAGATGTAAAGCAATTCTAGAAACTTATGGGAAGGCTATTGTACTTGTCCATGATCTTGACTAGACATTACTTATGTCATGAGTGTTCTTAGTCAATTCATGCATGCCCCTAAGACCACACATTTAGAGGCAACCGAGAGAATCCTTAGGTACTTAAAGAAGTTTTTAGGACTAGTTTACTATTCCAGAAGTATGGGCATTTGAAGGTTGAGGTGATTATAGGTGTTGATTGGGCCAAATTAGTTGATGATATAAAGTCCACTAATGGGTATTGTACCTTTGTGGGAGGGAACCTAGTCACATGGAGAAGCAAGAAACAAAATGTAGTGGCTAGGTCCGGTGTTGAAGCTGAGTATAGAGCAATGTCTCACGAAGTGGCTGTGGTTATGTGGATAAAAAATATGTTGAGTTGGGTTTTCTAGTTGATAGCCCCACGTCTTTGTATTGTGATAACAAGGCTGCCATCAATATTGCAGACAACCCAGTTCTTCATGATAGAACTAAATATGTTAAGGTGGACAAGCACTTTATCAGGGAGAAACTTGTTAATGGGGAAGTGCATACTCTATATGTTAGTTCCAAGGAGCAACTTGCAAACATTTTTACAAAGGGGCTACATCACTTGCGGCACAGTGACTTATGTAACAAGTTGGGCATGATTGACATCTATGTCCCAGCTTAAGAGGGAGTGTTAGAACTGTTATAATTCTGTACTTTAGTGCCATAAGGACATATTTGTAATTTTTACTTTATTTTTTATTAGTTTGGGTCACCTTAATATAAATACAAAACGATGGTGCTGCCAGCCCAAGATTTTTTGACTCCAAATCTTTTTTCTTCTCTTCTCTCTTCCCTCTTCTCTTCTCTGACTTTCTACCATAATTTTACCAAGAAAACAATTATGAATACCAATACTCAAACCCAGGAACAACCTTATGTTGTTGCAATCAATGGGACAAGAATGATAGCTCAAAGCTCGATTGAATAAAGCTTAACCACAGCCAGATGGGGTTGGCTGCAGAGACCATGTAAATACATAGAAGTTGCATATGCAAGGGCATGTCATCATTCATCAGCACTCACAAATCACAAAATTTGTCAACTCATCCACCATAATAGCATTTAGGTCCATTGAAGTATACATCAGTCCAAAAATAGTAGCATAGGAGGAAGCAAAAGGAACCTAACAACATTAAGCAACTGCAATAATCTTGATGGATCTTTTCCAATTCCTAATTTCCTTTGTTTTTCCCTGATCCTCTTCAACCAATAAGAGAAGCCTCTAGGAACAACTCCTATGTGGTGGTGTAAGAAAAAAAATCCATGATGTCCACATTCCTAGTTCACAGTTTTGAATATTTTTTTATTGGAGTTCACAGTTTTGAATATTACTACTGAAATATGAGTTGGAAGGATTTGGACATGTACCAATTAATTTCAGACGTACTAGCTAATGATCCTATCCAACCATACATGTATTTTGTTTGGCACTGGCCACACAAACCTAAGAAGACTTTGGGCTTTTTTTTAGTTTTATTTGGCAAACTAAATTAGGTTTAATTTATGATAAAACAACAAGCTTTGGATTTAAAGGGGATCCTCATCATTGTAAATTTATTTTGATTGGAACCTACCATCCACTTTGAGCTAGGTCTTTTATTTGACAATTTTGACTTAGGAATTAAACTAGATTTTAGTTACAATAAAAGGCTATGAGATGCCTTTGTAGTTTGAATTAGGAAACAATATATTTTTAGATCTAGAGAGAGAACCATATCACTCTATGTATTATTATAATTTAATAATACCTTCCCACACGTTTGAAGAGAAACTCTCCTCTTTGAGGGCTTTGCATATAATACTAGATGTGACTAGTGTTTTAAAAGCACAAGGGGCTTTTTGCACCTGAGGCGCAAAGCACAAGGCAAGGCATGCACCCTTTTGAAGCAAGGTGAAAAATTTTAAAAATAAAAAATAACAAATAAAAAAATTGATATTAATTAAAAAATACATACTTAAATTTTAAGCTAAATATTTTAGAAAGCCTATTGGCTCAAATTAAAGTGCATAAACATAATACATAAAGCATATGCAAGGTGAAAATGTAGAAATAAAATTAAACATAGCATATAAAACATATTCAAGCACTCGACAATTTAAGCACATGAAACTTCAAGCTCTTTATTTCTTTCCCACTTGCATTACTCTAATTTTACCAGCCACATTTTATTGAGCCCCTTGAGGCAAGCTCAAATAAGTCCATCCTTAGTTTGCCTGCCAATGCTCCTAGAACCCCTATTTGCTAATATTGTTCACTTCATTCTTCATGGTAAAAGACATTTTTTTAAATATAAGGAACTAAGACTAAATTATAAAACCAATTTTTTAAGTAGAGATTAAGAATTTAAGACCCTAGCATGGACTTATTGGGGCATGCTTCAAGGGGCACATTTGGGGGTTGGGGGTGGAGCCCCCAACTCAGCCACCATACTTAAAAAAATACAAAAAGCACCAAATTTAACAAAGGTGCCTGCCTAGGCTGAGGCACAAGGCACACTAGGTGCATGCTTTTCTAAAGTGGATACACCCGGGCCTAACCAAGGCACAAGCCTTGAAATGCACCTCGCTTGTGCACCTAGATATGCCTTTTCAATCACGGTCTATGACACTTCATTACGTGTTGTTTTCTCAGGATCGTAGTTTCTTTTTTTTTTTTTTGTCATATTGTCTTTTGCATGAGTGCCTAGGCTGAGGCACAAGGCACACTAGGTGCATGCTTTTCTAAAGTGGATACACCTGGACCTAACCAAGGCACAAGCCTTGAAATGCACCTCGCTTGTGCACCTAGGCATGCCTTTTCAATCACGGTCTATGACACTTCATTATGTGTTGTTTTCTCAGGATCATAGTTTCTTTTTTTTTTTTTTGTCATATTGTCTTTTGCATGAGTGCACCTAGGGGTGGATTCGAGCCAAATCGAGCCAAATATATAGGCTATTCGAGCTCGGCTCATCAAAACAATGTCAAGCTCGATTTGAGCTAAAGACTTGAGCTTGAATTTGGCTCGACTCAAAAGCTTCCAAGTTCGAGCTTGTCTTTGAGCCAAGCTGCCTATAAAAAATAAAATTTAAACATATAAAAGTTATTTTTTTAATTTTGCATACAAAAATTAAGAATTATAAAAATTACTTATTATCATACATATAAAATTAAAAATATTATATATAATATTTATTATTATACATATAAAAATAAAAAATATAAAAATTATTTATTATATATATTAGGTTCGATTAGGCTTGTGCAGTGTTTTAAAAGTGCAAGGGTCAAATAAAGGATAAGCACCTCTCAACAAAGGGAAATCCAGAGTCCCAAACTTCCAATAGGGTTTAATGAATTCTACTCAAATTGTTACACTGAGGGAAATATAGTTCTTTAAATTTTAGATACTTCACTAGCTTAGGTAAACAAAGAAGGGTTAGAATACTTCTTTCAATGGTGAATCCATGCTTCAAAATGGGTATTAGTGGAGGAAGAAACATTTGAGGGGGGGAATAGATGAAGTGAAAAGATAATCTGAAACAAAAAGAGTCGTTAAAACATGGGGATATCGATGTAAAAATGGAAAACATTAGGGGGAATATGCAGAACCGTTAAAACATGGGACATGGATGAAATAATCCAACCCCACCCCACCAACCAACCACATAGAATATGATTTATAGAGGTGAAGACCAAGAACTGAAATAGCAAAACCTCCAAGTTACAACTTTGACAATGCTGCAAACAAACAATACTTGAATGGAGAGAAGCTAAATAATGGAGCTAGAGAAACCCGGAGGAGGAGGTAGCGGGTAGGTTAACATGATCTAAAAAACAGGAAAAGCTGCGTGGATGTACCAAGCTCCCAAAGAACAACTCTAACAAGCAAGGGAGGAGAATAAAACTACAACCTTGCAAATTATAATGGAGCCTTAAAGCAACGTTTGAACCAGAACCTAGCGTTAGAAACTTAGAATCAAAACAAAAGTAGAGAGGGAACCAATGTAGTGTCGAAAGAAATACCCCCAGTTCTACAGAAAAGAAACCCTGAGCATCCATGACCCCCAAAGAGTCAATAATTTGCAGAGATTCCTTCATTGTGTTCAGAAAATATATGAATATGTTAGAAACCCTATTTGAAGAAATTGAAATTCATGAAACGCAACCTAAAACCCAGTTGAACAAGTGCATATTTCAATTACAATCTTCAAAGCTTAGAACGCATAACGCTTCAAAAGGAATTAAAAAGACAGCAAAACAAAAATCCAAATCGAGAAGATGGAACCTAAAAATTATGCAGAAAACTTTTAGAAAAATAATAGGGAGAGAAATCCATACCTCGAAGAGAAAGGAGAAATCTGGAATCGTCAAAGCTGACAAAAAATGGCCCGTAAAATCTTTCAAATGAACAATGCCAATGTATAAAAACGTTTTTGCCCTTCACCGCTCCCTTTCGGCCTCCCCCATACATTCTCATTTCCCAAACTAACCTTTTGATAGCTAGAAAATGTCAGCTCTGCCCCAGGGAAAGCGTCGTTTTGACCCTAATGACCCCACTTGAAGCCATGCGTCCACATAGAACTGAGGACATCCAACCAACCGCTGTAACTGTCGGCGAATCCGTTCCATTACTATTTCAAGAGACCACAGAAACACACATGGAAGAAATCTTCCTCCTTTCTAATGCCGCAGAGATTGTGGAGCCCACGATGCCTGCCACGTGTATAGAAAAAGGGCCCTAGTCTTCCCCATAAGATCTCTCAAGACCATCGTAAAAATTCTTGGATAGAAATTGTAAAATTGAAATAGGAACAAGGGTCCTTTGGGTATAAACAAATTTCTCAGCGATGAAAACGTTGAAAGTGAAGAAGGAGCCAGGGTGGAGTCGTGGAGTGCGGAAAGAGAAACAGGGGCAAAGTGTTTTTTTTTTTCATTTTTCATTTTTTATTTTCATCGGCTTCTTATATTTGAAAATTTTGCAGTCCAGAAACAAGCATGAGATCCCTAAAATCCTGCCAAGTTTTCTTCAACCCATTGTTCTTTTTGAGGTACGGATTTAGGTCTCGTTTAATATCTCGAGTTTTGATTCACGATCCATCTTTTATCCGTAGTCTGTACTACTTGTTTGTAATTCTTTATTTCTTTGTATTTTTCTTTGATCTGGGGTTTAATCATGGTTACTTCCGATGCTTAAATCGATAGGCTTCTGCCAATTTGCCTGCTCTACTTTCATTAGTGCTTTCCTCTTTTTCCTTGTCCTTGGATGGTGGGTAGATTCTTTTAGCGATTTGGAATTTAGACCTCATTTTCTAGGTTCAATTTCTTAAGATTTAAGAGGTTTCACCGTATTTCTTACTTGCTTGTTTAGTTTTGTCTATGCGAATATCAATGGTTTTTGTTTTCATTACATCATTATATCAATCTTCACTTTCTTGATGGAGAGAGTGGATTGTAGTTGCATGATATTTCTTGTTTTAAGATTCAGGTTCAGGTTGTTGAATTTGAGTTACAAGTAGTATAATTGATGATTTAAATAAGCTATTCACATAATTTGCAACATCCCGAATAAATAAGCTCTCCAAGAGGAAGTAACCACGAACTGAGTGTTGTAAAACTATTAGGCGAAACAGAAAAAAAGCAAAAAAAAAGGGTGTTTTAGAAAACTAAGTTCTAGTAACTCCTTTGAGGATGCAAAAGTTCTTATCGATCTTAATAAAATTTACCCATTTGGATACAGGTAAAAACAAGAGTGGTGAAGTAGATAGTAGTCATTTGCCTTTATACTTGCATTTAGAAGTAGCTTCTTTTGTCTTTTTCTGCTTCTTAACATGAGCATTCTCTTTCTTTCCAGGATTTCCAACTGATGAGCACTAGCAGAATTTGTCATTGTGAAGTCCTTGTATGTTAACCTCGAAGATCTCAGTGGAACAGATAATAAAGAGAAAAACAAGGACGGGAAAGACATGTTTTCATTATTCTATGGACTCTGGAATTATATCTTTAGCAAGACAGAGTTTCATGTTCTTATTCTTGGGATCGACAAGACTGGAAAAACTGTAATATATTTCTCTATTTTCTTTACAAACTCTGTATTCTTTTATTATTTCTAACCTCCATGTAATAATATATGGAGTTCATTATCTGTTCCTTTTTTGGTATATAGTAAGTACCCAATTCATTATTTTTCTGCCAGTCTGAGATCCTGGAAAATAAAAAGTAATATTGTTCTTAGGTGTACTCAGGTTCGGTTGGGCTATTTTTTTAAACTGAACTGGTCCTACCAGTTAACCAGTTGACCGGTTCAGTTTTCTGGTTTTTTTATATTGATAACATATATTATGAATAAATATATATGATATATTATAAATATGTATGTTATATTATAAAATAGTATTTATAATATTTATATAATATATATATATATACCGGTCAGTTTGGTTAACCGCATTTTTCAGTTTGGTTTTCTTGGTTCAGCTTGGTTTTTCAGTTTTTTATGAGCACCCATAATTGTTCTTCTTTAAATGCAATTCTCTTTTGTATGTCATTATGGCATTTAGGATGTAGTGTTACCCAAACAAGTAACAACCTACCCAGCCTTAGTAGCACAGGCAGGGCTTAATGTATCTGTTCTTACTTGTTGGTTTATATGCCTTAGCTGTTGTCATTTAAATGGTCAAAGTAAGCTCTTCTAATTGCAATTATATATCTTTGTCTCACATTTTATCTGGCTTATCTATCATTTTGTTTGAAAATTTTGAAGATCCAACTTAGCAATCATGTTATGACATGTTAGAATTCTTGGTCTACCTAGGTGGCACATATGGTTCAGTTGTTGACACTCTATAGCTTTCTTTAAGGCACAAATGATCAAAATAGTGACCTCAAGTAGCTTAATTCCAGGGTGGTAAATAGAGCACATTGTTCATTTGAGTTCTTAAAGTGATATTTTTCTGCCATATTCACTGAAACGAGGAAAAGGTAACAAGGGATGAAATTAGAAACATGCACTGATGTACATTCTTGAGAACCTAGGGTAGTCTCAAGAGGTGACAAAAGTAAGGAAATTGGATTAAGATGTTGGTCATGTACATGGAAAATTACCTACTGCATCAATGTGGAAAAAAAACACTTGGTTGCAGTTAAAGGTTTGGAAAGAGGTAGGAAGGAAGCTAAAAGAGAAAGTAATAAGAAATGGCCTAAAGACTGATAACCTTATCCGTGGGGCGGACCTTGAGTCCATGTTATATTATGACCTTTTCAGTATTTGAATAAAACTTATCTTACTTTTTTTTCAAAAAAGAAAAAAAAAAAACTAATGAAGGCTATGGTCCTTAATTGACCAACTAGCTGGGATAAGGCTCTCTTGAGTTGAGTTGATGATGCCCTCCAAATGGGGCCTCAATCTACATTATAGTTTTAAAGTTTTGCAATGTTCCACCAGGCCCTGGTTTACCCCAACATAAACTTTCTCTTTACATATCTGACCATGCTAATGAATCAATCGTGCTATTTGCTAATCTCGACATCCACCTGAATGAGAAATTTGGATTGAAATTCCATGCTCATGTATGTCTTGCCAAAAACTGCAAGGTCCAAGCTACTTCTTTCCCAAATTTCAACCAGTTTATCACCAAGTTGCAGCCCCCATCTACTTAAATTTCTGTTGTGACAGCTGTTAGGTGAATTTTGATCTACTTTTTCAAATAGATGGTTCCTTATAGGAACTACATTTATATGGATTAGGAGGACAGCAAATGTAATGTAAGATTCTTTGGCCAAGCAAAAGGTTCACAGAGAACAACTGTTTTGGGCTGAATTGTAATTGTAAATAGGGTTTCTGGGTAAAATATCCCAGCTCTGTTTGTACTTTATCAAGTCTTATATATATATAAAGTTCACACATCATAATGTCTGCTGAGGCTCATTATTTGAAGTTTTAATGTCTTAAATCTGCATTTATTGCACTTAGAAATGCACCAATCATGACATCATAAAGTTCACACAGTCTTAGGTTAATGAAAATTCAATCTACAAGATTATCCTCTCTTTATTAAGGGTAAAAAGATTTTGATTTTGACATCAATTTGGATCTTATTCAAAATTGAAATGAAAAAACAAGTTATTCAAAATACTAGAAAATTTGAATAGGTCTTGGTTGAAATTTTGAAATGCTGAATATTTCAAAATTGCTTGAATTTGAATTATCTTCAAATTCTAAAAATTCAAACTTTGTGGTGAGATCTACTCGCCTCAGAGGTTTCTTCGAAGGAACCCTTCGGAGGCCAGGAGAATCCAAACTATGCAGATCTCAATATGAAAACTATGAACAGGCTGAGAGCCTGAGAGTCCTGGGTTCGGGCCTGCTGGATAGGCTGGCTTCTATCACTTTAAGCCTTTTTAAATACACAACATATGATTTTTTTGTATTTGTAGTTGTTTTCTCAATTACATTGCCCCAAACTCCACATGAACTTGGCTTGTTGTTTATGGATTTGCAGACTTTGCTAGAGAAGTTAAAGACATTGTATTCAAACTTGGAAGGACTTCCTCCTGATCGTATAGTTCCAACTGTTGGCCTCAATATAGGCCGTATTGAAGCATCAAATACAAAACTTGTCTTCTGGGACCTGGGAGGTCAAGTACGTCATGTTCTTTCTTAGCCAAACCATTTCACTAGGTTGTATTGCATGCATAATGAGATTTTCCTTTGCTGTTCCTGCAGAACTCTGTATGAGATTTTGATGCCTAATAGTTGATATTGAGCTCATATTATCTAATATTTCATATCTGACATTATTAAGTGATTCTGTTGGATCACTGTGATCATAAGACATGCTGAACAATTATTTCCTTTTTGCTCTATTTTATTTTTTAATTCTGATTTTTTTTTCATTTCTGTATTTATTTCTCTGTAAGCATGCATTGGCTCATATATGCATGTAAACATTGTGAAGAAGTAATAAGGAAAGAGATTTTAACCACTACTGATGAAAAAATAAATGTAGTGGTAAAGAACAGGTTGGTCACTACTGACTTCAAACTGGCCAAATGGAATATGGTTTTTCTTATGGTTTTAAGCATTAAAATATTTCCTTTTTTTTGTGTTGCAAAATCAAACATCACATGTAATGTTCCTGCCTTTACCAAGCACTTCAAAAAACTTCAACTTTTTGATGGGGTGAGCAGAGAGGAGTTACAAAGAAACTGGCTGCAGATTGTGTACACTTCCCCATCCTCTCCAACTTCAACAGCTCTTCCTCCCCCAAGTAGAGAGTGTGAGTACCTGTTGCAGTTTGATGGCAGTTTTAGAAGGTCACTGCTTCCTCCCTCAGCAGCAATAGGGGGCATTGTTAGAAACTCTAGTGGAGACATCTTGTGGGCCTTTAGTGGCCCAGTTCAAGCTGCAGATGCCATCTGAAGCAGAAGTCCATTCCTTTCTAGAAGGCTTAAGGGTTGCTAAGAGGCTCCTTTTCGGTCCCTTAGCAGTAGGAGATTCAAGGATTGCCATTAAGTGGGCAAAAGAATCAGATGAGGAATCATGGAGGTTAGCTCACCTCCTTGCTGAAATCTATGAGCTGTTTTCTCTGCTGAACTGCACCTTTAGATGGATTCCTCGGGAGATCAATAGAACAGAAAATGTTTCAGAAAAGCAAGGCTTGGGAAGGGATTTTTTATATAGTGCTAGTTCTTTACCATGTTGATCCAGGCCCTTCTTTTTGCTTTTTTTTTTCTGGCCTAATTGTATATCCCTCTCCCCTTTTTTTGAATATTAGTTATCTTTCAGTTAAAAAAAATTCAACTTTTTTTGCAAGAAAAAAAATCAACTGAACTATTATTTTTTGAGATAGATATATACAATGTTACTGCCATTGTGTACAGAATATCAACCAAATATAGCATTCCAATACTTGAAGCATGTAATTTTCTCTCTTTGCAAATTTTTGGGTCCATTTCCCTTTGAGGCTCACAGTTGTTGCTTAAGGATGACTTCTTTGCGATGACTATTTTTTAAATTTAAGCTAATGAATTAATTGTGGCTCCATATCACACTCTATGTATTCATAGAAGAAAAAAAGATTTAGACAACATAGAATTTTTCTTTTTTTTTTTGAGAAGTAACATATCAATTCATTAAAAAGGAAAAGTACAACCAGAGGCTATACAATGGAGGTACAAAAACGACACTCAAACTACAAACCCAATGGGAGATACAAACAGACTTTCAAAGTCAAAAAGAGAACTGTAAAAAGAACTGTCAACTTTAAACTGAGTCGAAGACCAGGAGAACAGCTTCCCCACAATCTTCTGTCACACTTCCTCTTCTTGACAGCTTTTGTTTTGAAATATCCTTGAGTTTCTTTCTTGCCATATCAACCATAACACAGCACCTGGAATCAGATACCATAGAACTTTCCCTTTCTTGCTTAGGCCTTGTACCCTCCAGTTGTTGATGAAAGCAGCCATTGATTCTGGGCAGCAACTTCTGATTGCGAAAATTCTGAGAATCCTTACCCATATTTTGAGTGAAGCTACGATGCAGTAATAGGTGGTCAACAATCTCATCATCACTGTTGCACAAGACACATCTTTTAGAGTCAATCGCCACATCCCTCCTAACCAAGTTGTCTCTTGTAGGAATCTTATTCAGGTAAGCAGCCCAAATAAAGAAAGACACCTTCGATGGAATGTATCTGCACCAAATTACATGCACAGGAAATTCCAGATCTTCCTCTTGGACCAGTTTACCATAGAAAGATTTCACCGAGAACTGGCCTTTGCTATCTGCAACCCAAAACCTTAGATTGTTTGTCATGTTACACTCAAAAGTCATATTGCTATCATTTGTTTGTCAGCCTTAGTTTCCACTTGTTTATGGCAACATGGTCATTTGAAACATGCATATATTTTTTTAGCCATTTTGCATGATGTCAATGAATTTCCAGTACCATGTAATGTTATCATTTCCTTGATTCTTCCAATATTCAACACACTACTTCCAACATTCAGGAAATGTTTACTAATAAAAAATAAATAATAAATAAACAAATAAAAATCCAGGTGTTTCCTATTTTTGGTTATTAGCATTTGTATCATTTAATCTTCAATGTTTCTTCACCATGATTCTTTGAAAGACGAACGAGGGAAAAGTAATATTTCATCATCATCATCATCATCCAAGCCTTATCCCAACTATATGGGGTTGCCTACATGAGTCCTGTTCTGCCAATCTGTTCTAGAAAAGTAATATATCAACCTTAATTAATAATAAGATGGTAAGCTAGTCGGTCTTCTCATGTGTGAAGTATTCCTCTTTTTTCAAGTCACATCAAAATACAGTGCAAGACTGTACAAAATCATCACCATTATCATCCAAGCCCTTATCCAACTATGGGGTTGGCAACATTAAAAAGATGAATAATGTATACAAGCATCCAAATTTCATACTTTTCTTGCATGATATTTGATCTTTCGCAGATGGTAAGGAACTTATAAATTTTAGTTCTGAACATCAGCATAACATTAGTACAATTGTTCAGTTAGGTAATTGGTTTTCAACAAGATTTAATCTGGTTGCAATAAGCATCTGAGAGTTTTCGAATATTTCCCAAAGATGGTTGAGAACACATGCAACTTGTTTCTTGCTATGTGGGAGTGTTTAACTTTGTTCTGTCATACATGAATATGCATTTGCAGAGTGGTCTACGAACAATTTGGGAGAAATATTATGAAGAGGCGCATGCTATAATTTATGTCATTGATGCTGCTTGCCCTTCACGTTTTGAAGATTCAAAATCCACATTGGGTTAGTGACTTTTGTTTACCTAATTTTATGGAACATTTCTTAAGTATCAAAACATTCTTGAAGAAATTGTTTTAGCCTAATACCTCTAATTTATTACCAGAAAAAGTACTACGGCATAGAGATCTACAAGGGGCCCCAATTTTGATACTAGCAAACAAGCAGGTGAGATGGTCCATTTTCTCTTTCAGGCCTACCAAAAAATACAAGTCAACTTTCAATTGACTTGCAAGCTGAATGCTACTATACATGTTCATTGTTCACCAGTAAGTAGAATAGCATTGTAAATATTCAGGGCATTTATTATAAGGCATGTCGTGTACCGAGTAAGAAATCATTCCAGTTTTTGTTTTCTGATTGCTTAATTTGGATTGTTCATCTTGTACATTTGTTTTTCTGGTTACTACGACTATTTCCTAGTAGTATATCCCTGTGGAGTATCATATTTCTACACACATCATAGAATTAATATATGGAGTTCCATGTCTGTATCTCACCTTTGATTGCTTTAGAAGATGACTTGCCTGGAAAATGATAACTTCCCATCTTGTTGTTGTTGTTGGCACATCAAATTACTTATTTTTCCAAGAAATTCCTTGTTTCTTTCGGGATGAGTGTTGAAACCTGCCGGAATTCTCTGGGCATTAATTAGGAGAGAAACAGAGTGTTTGACTATACACTCAAGTTTGGATGAAGTAGCAAGGAAGGCAGCTGGCCTTCTGTTCGAATCACTGTCTTCGTCCAAGTTATTTAAGAACTACCTTTTTAACTTTTTTAATTCTAAGGAGTGTGGGTTGAGCTAAATTTTTGTGGGTTCCTTGTTATGTTTTTGTTTTAGGGAGACAGTTGCATCCATTGCAGAGTCGCTGTTTATTTTGGTTTTCCTTCTTATTAATATAATTCACACGTTACTTATCTAGAAAAGTTATCATTTGATGGCAGGATATTGCCAATGCTGTGTCAGCAGAAGAACTTAAAAGGTATTTGGATCTAAAGGAGTTGGATGAAAGGCCTTACATGTTTGAAGCAGTTTCTGCATATGATGGGTGAGTAAAGAGATTATAAAATACCACTAGCTTACCCCAGAGGCCAGAGACCACAGCCCTAAAAAGAACCTCAAGATGCTATTTTCGTTTTGAAAGTAACCTTTCTAATTCTAGGTAATTATGATGGGTTCTGAAAGAATTTCTTAAACTGGGCTTATCTTATCCCTGTAACAAAAACGTGTTGGCATTTGCTTAGAAATGAAAGGATTGTGATCTCCATTGCAGGACAGGGATTCAGGAAGGCGTAGACTGGCTAGTGGAAGTTATGGAGAGAAGTAAGAGAACAGAAATGTTAAGAGTTCGTGCAGGTGTGACTGGGCCTGTTTCTATTTAGGATTGGTTGATTAAAGCCTCAAAAAGTTCTTATAAGCAAGATTGGTCTGCTGCTTCTAATTAGTGAATCAAATGGATATAATTGCAAAGAGATGACAAAAGGATTGGTGTAACAAATTCATGCCATATATGTCAGAATACAAACATCTTTCAACAAGTGGCTATTTAATGCCACATTCGATTAAAGCATGATTTTACTTTTTAAGTCAGGGTCTCATTTGATGTTTCCACGGTGCAACTTGATGAAATTTTGCAGTTTAAGAAAGAAATAAAGTAATTTGATTGAATTAATACAAGACTCGTTGGCTCTGCTAAGCAGTGCATGTTTGACAGCACATGGAATTTTTTACTTCAGCTTCCATCAAAATGACCTTAAAGGCTAATAACAGATGGAAAACTTTATTGTACTAAAGAGAGTATATTTGTACCAGAACAGCAGGGAAGAATCGGCTTCTCTTCCGAGTACAAAATGCTTGTTGATGAATGATGACAGAACACAGAAGCATTGCCCTCGTTGGAACTTGCACAAAGAATGGGGAAAGCGTTTGGGGTTGGGAGGCACCCGCTTAATCGAGTCACAAGAGAATCGCCCCAAGAAAATCATTCTGCACTACCGATGGCCTTCATCGTTTCGGTGTCAAGTTCTTTCCCCACAATCCCAATTCCCACAACTAGACTACAGAATGCTAGATTTTGGAAGTTCACCTAAGTTCCGTTCCAGGAGTGAATCAGTGGAAAATTATCTTTGGAAAGGAAGCCAGAGTCTTGTCATTTCAATAAAGTTAACCTTAGTTCCATATCATTTTGGCCTTTGGGGTGCTTATTAGGGGGCATTTCATTGGCACATGCCTAGATGAATTTGTATTTTGTAGTGACAAATTTTATTGTTACCACACTTTGGACAATATAACATGTAATAGCGTTTGCTGTTCCTTTCCTTTCACCGTATAACCTGTTACTACACTGCAACAAGATACACAGTTTATTTTATAATATCGCTATACAAATAGACAGTTCATTTGCTAATTTTTTGATTAATTAAACAGTGGGAAATTCACAAATTTGAAACGGGCATGTTGTAGAAGGTGGCTCGACCAGTGTACACCAATTTTCCAGTTTCCTTTATCCTGAATTCAACTGAAACTACTATCACATTCCTTCCACGCCTGACTACGGATCCAACAACCTCCACTTCAACCTGCGTAAGAAACCACTGTTATTCAGCAGCAGAATTTAACAATAATGTCCATAACATAAGCAACAAATAATCAATCAGAAAACTTTTAGTGAGTAGCAAGGTAATTAAAAACTCTCTTAAGCTGTAAATAAGAAAAATATGAATTCCAAGACTATCTTTATTTGTACACGAGATCAGTTTCTTGACTAAACTTCAAAATATGGCTGTATAGTTGCAGCTTCAAAATGCCATTAGAAAAGTTCAAGTTAGAAATCTGAATTGGATACCTTGTTTAACCAAAGTCTACCTTCATTACCTACGCTCATAACCAACTTATTATAGAAAGGTAATGTTGCTATAGACATTTGGAATCTAAGACCAAAAAGGTCCACTATGAAAGAGACTGAACCTCTCTATACCAGAGCTTGACATGGATAAGAACATCATGAAGAGACAATTACTCATCGCAGATGAATCTAGAGTATACCCTCCAGTCCTCCTTACTGGAAAATTGTATGTTTTACAGTTTAAAGGTATTCGCTATGATCAAATTATATAAGAACACTATTAGGAGCTTCTTTTCTCTTCGATCTTTTTTGCTTTCTTCCTTTCTTTTTTTGGTTCAATTAAAAAGGCCATAACTAGCCTTGGGATGCTAGACTCTCATGAAGAAACTAGAGTAGCAGAGAAACTGAGGCCAGACTTTCACAATTCAAATACAAAGAAATGAAAGTGCATGTATGCTAATGCTCTGCCTGAAACTAGTATAAAATGTCTTCAATCAATCCAAAATTTCAGCAAATGGTATTCCTTAATATGGATGCTCTCATCCCTCTTATTGTACTTCTGTCAAAATTCATAAAAGAAGTTCATATTAAAGCTTCTGCTCTGGATTTGTTGCCTATGGCCCCAAAACGAACTGCTACGCCAACTTCCAAAGATGATTAAAATAGTGGGAAAGGATCCTTCAACTACTAAACTTAAATAGATTTCAAACCCTCCCCCAATTTTATTACAATATAGACACACTTGCACAGTATACAATCTAGGTTAAATATTCCCAGAAATCAAACCACAGATAGTCTACTTCGATGGCATTTCCAACACTTCCCATCTTTTCCACTAAATACAATGCCCATCTTCACCACCAAACTGGAGTTTAGCTTATGTCCAAACTAAGTTCTCGCATATTAAGTCTCCACTCCAAGATTTTCTAGACTTCCCCAAAACTGGCTTGTCACAACCAAGTGACCAACACTTTCCACCAGCAAACAGCGTTAAGAACCAAATTCTAAGGGTCTGTTTGGTTTGGGGTCGGAATCTGGAATCAGAAGCGGGATTGGATAATCGGAATCATCTGGAATGGTATGCACCAATTCCAGACCCCCTACTCCCCGCCAACCAAACGGACCCTAAAAGAATGCCCAAACCAGGATAAGGCAGAACTCGCAAATACAGTATTGATATGCTTAGGGCTAACAAAATTAATTCCTAGTACAAACATGTTCTTGAATTCCAATCCATCTGTTGAATTTTGATCGCCCTTCGCCCCAATTTTAGTCCCCAAACTCACCTTCCTGCTGACACCGGAAGATATATTAAAAGCTTGGGAATACCCAAAGCCATGAAGACTCAGACTTAAAATCTCAACTTCATCAGCAAAGCAAACAAACACCCTAAGATGACAAAGTAAATAAATATAATTCTTTAAGAAAAGGGTCAGAAATAAAAAGAACCAAGATTAGGTAGGGAAGGGCTCACATTCCTCCCAGCAGTTGAGAGATAGGACGTTGCCAATTCCCCAAGAAACAATTCCTTATTCTCGGGTGCAGAGACGGTTCGAGCACAAGCGATCGCTATCAACTCCGCAACACACGCAACTACACCTCCGTGCAACGAACCATAATAGTTGAGTAGAGGAGGACTGGGAGTGAGAATGCAAGTAATCCGGCCGCGTTCGATGCGATCGACCTTAAGAAAGCTGCGGATGAGATGAGATAAATAATCATTGATTTGAGCACCTTCTGGAACGTCCTCGGAGATTCCCACATTCTTGAAGAATCTTAACACCGCGTCAATCGACGACGACAAAGAAATGTCTCCTTCTTGCCCTTCTCCTCCTTGGCGGTGGTGTTCGAGACTCGAGGGAGGGGAAAGGGAGAGTGGTTGTTTCTCTTCCGGCATCCCGTGAAGGCTTGAGATAAATTGAATCGACTACCTCTTCCTTTTCATCGCTTTATCGATTTGTAAAAGAGAGAGAGAGAGTTACTCAGTTACCCTTGTCCCTCCGGCTGGAGTACGCTGTACCTGTATCTGAAATTCCGCTTCCATTTTCCATCTTTGCAAATTGCAACCAGCATCCTAAATTAAGCGAAAACACAAACAAAGGCTTAAATGGGATAAGTGATAACGTGTCAGTAAGCTAACAGTCCCCCGCTCCCGTCACATATTTGGGTATTGTCAATATAAATTAGCTTAATCAATATAAATTTTTGAGGGATGGTTTTGTCACATTTGATGTTTCAAAAATGGTACTAATTGTTGTATTTATAATTAAAAGAATTTGTGGTAGAAAAAAAGTAGAAGTGACAATGATACAAACACAACCTTAAAGATGTCTTGTAAATTGATTCATTAAACTTAAACATATCCTCATCAATGAAATGACGTATGTAAATTCATTTAAATGTCATATTCATGGTATTTTATGGTTCAGTTAGAGGAATAAGTCACAAAGTCTCTCTGCATAAACAGTTCCATTTTTCATACATCAGTGTGACTGCTCTTTAAGCATTCTAGCTCATATAGGACCGAAACCTTTGAATCATTAAATCTATTTTTTTTAATGATGCATTTGCTTTTCATTCCTTATTTTTATGTGGATTTGTCATTTCAAATCTTCTTCTAGCTTTATATTTGTATAGTAGTTAAAACAACCAACATCAGAATCTACATAACCAAAATTCAACTTGAACTGGGTGGAGATCATCAATCAATCTCAAGATCTGTATTAAAGCCTCACTTACCATTCTCACTAATGGTTGGAGAGGGAAAAGTGATATTCTGTGCTATTTTCAATCGTATTCAGATTTATAATATTTTTTGTTCTTTTTGAAAACTTGAAAAGAAATGAAGGGTAAAAGAGTCATAAGTTATCTTTAAGTCCTTTTAAAAAAGTCAAGATACGTTTAAGTCAATTACTAAAAACTCGGGGTATGTTTAAGTCTTTACCCAATTAGTTAATAAGTTGATTAATTGGTTGAGATTAATTTTATTATTAAACAAATGGTAATAGTGAACAAGGTTTTAAAAGCTAAAGGCAAAGGCAAGGTAGGCAAGGCAGTTTTATGCCAAAGAGGCAAGGCCTAAGCCTCTAAGTCTATGGATTATTTTTTAGGTATAACACATCTATATTTATAACCCTTTCTATCTAAATTAAATAATTAACATATACATACTAAAATCTTTTTGTAATATCATATGCATTTAAGGATATAAATTTTTGTTATGTATATTTATTTTAATATTAATCTTACATTTTGAAATTTTTATTTTATACATGAGACATAAGTAGGTCCCATCTATATGGAACATTGGTTTGTTCACTCATGGTTGGTTATTTAGTTACATAACCCATTATACATGCTAGTGGTAGCCAATGTATGCCCTTATCTCCAATTAAATTGATATACATAAAATATTTATCAGTAAATAAATAAAGTACATTATTGTTTTATGTTTTAATTAGTATGTTTCTGTGAATTACTCCTTAAACTGGACACTTATGAGACTCGTGTGTTGTCGAATTATTAGAGTTTATCTTGACAAGGCTGATATTGAATAGACTTGGAAAGTTTGTCCTGATAAGGTTGACATTAATGTGCTACCGAATTGGTGGAGCGGCCTCAGTTGTTAGGTTCAGACCCAAGCACAACTATTGGGTGTTTGGAAGAAACACTGAACCCAAACCAATTTTCAATTATGCCCTGTACCTTGGAGATAGATGGGCAAAACAAAAAAGTTGCACTTAACCCTAGACTTGAGTATATATTACATTATGCTTTGGACTACATTGTCTTTGATATGCCAACCAGTGAGATCCATCAATGGTCAAATATCTATATATGTTAGGGCAATTTAGAAAATTACTTGAGTGTGTGATCATAGTAATAGGATCAATCACTATGTCGAGCAAAGTGAATATCAAGGTTTACACTTTCTTTAATTGAAACCTAAACTACTAGTAGTGGATTTCGACTATATTTAGAATTTAATTTACAAAATGTAGTTATATGTTATATTACTATTTCATCAAAAAGGTTAGCAAAAGGTTTTAATCCTGGGATCCTCTGAGCAAAGAGTGTGAACTGCATTGTACAGTCAGGGAAGAAGTCCCTTTTTTGTGGGTAGTGTTTTAATGATTAAGGGCCGAGAGGTTAGGTGTAAGAGACCATTACAAGGCTAATTACCTAATGGGTTTTATCTTACATAAGCCCATTATCCTTAAGTCTTCATATGTGGATAAATCCAATGATCATTTACGTCTAAATGTTGGGTGCAAGATGATTGGGTCAGGGGGTTCACTACCCCTGAGTAGTGAATTTAGCCTAACATCTTCTAGAGGTAGGGCCGAACACTTATGGACTTGTGTAAGACCTTTATGGGTCCCTTGCCATACAATATTCAGGCCCAAAGTGGCCATGCAACACCTTGGAATGTGAACCATTAAAGAAAATGGGCCTAAGGCCCATTACTAACATGATTAATTGAGAAATCACATTACAATTTAAGTTGTCATGTGATTTGGGTTAAAAATGAGCAAGGATATGGATATAGAGCACACATTCTCTTAAGAAGATAACTCTTATCAATTAAAGATCTAATCCAAACTTGATTTGGATCATCTCCTAATTAGATTAGGAGAGTGCTCTACATAAGGGATTAAGAGGGGAGGGGCAAATTCACCAATTCTCTCCATTCTCTTTCTTTCTTCTCTTCTCCCTTGCCTCCTAGAACGCTTAGTTCGAGCGAACTGTGGTAGGGGCTGATTTCCATCAGTTCTCTATTATGTTTTTGCAATAAATACATCATATGATATCAGGTTCACACACCACATCGATCCAAGAAAGTTGGAGACCGGTTTTTGCTAAAGCGGTATTGCTGAATTGGCTTCACATACACACTACACCATCTTCGATTAGAGGCCAATTTTGGGAGTGATATTGAATGTGAACTACCACTTTGAGAGGAGTTTCACATTGTGGTCTTCGTATTAAGTATAATTAGTTTTAATTTGGTTTTCAAATCTGGTTCGATTCAGTGCAAATTCAATCTTGAAATTTCAAATTTCAAAATTACCAAGAAAATCGATTCTAGGGTGGGGTTAGAAAAAGTTTTAAAAATTCAACCAACCACTAAACCTGGTTCAACCATGTTTAATCTAATTTCTAACCCTTCCAACAGCTAGTATGCATAACAAATCCAGAGTTCTTAGAAGCAATGTGTGTAGAAGATATGGTCTTTGCTTCATTGGGAGGTCGCAATTCGCATAGGAGTGGTTGCAACATGTGTTTTCCACTCTTATGGAAGTACAAAAATATAGACCAAACATGATATATAACTTTATCCCAATGAGTTTGGATCAATATTTTCAATCCACCATTGACATGGATAATTAAACCAGTTGAACCATCACCCAGCAAAGATTCTAAGTCCAATTTTCCTAAAGCTTAAGGTTTGGGGTGATCTTTCTATCAATTTAGAGTAACTTTTCGAGATCTATACATCTCAAGAGGCCAAAGACGCCTCGTCAAAAAACCCTTTGTTGGTCTTAAATCCCAATTTTTAATATTTTTATAAATAAAAAATATAATTTAAACTTAAATTAACACGTATATATTATGTAGAATATAATTATATGATTTTATTGATATAATATATGTTTAGGGATGCTCAGAAAAAATCAAAAAACTGATCCAAATCAAAGAAACTGATTTGAAAAATCCAATTAATTGAACGAATTGGTTCGGTTTTCGGTTAACCTATCAAAAACCGGTAGTTAACTAAATCGATTTGTATATATACATATAACATAATGTTTAAATATTCTAATTTTATTTCCCCTCTCGAATATCAAATTCTCAACCAGTATTTTTTATTTTCCCTCCCCCATTTACCTTTTTCCAGTTTTCTCAAACCCAAACCCAAACCCAAAAATGAGAAAACCCTAGCTCAACTACTTGCTTGAGTTGGTTTGGTGGTTCTACCTGAATCTCTCAAACTCTCGTATCTCTCTCACTCTCTCAGACTCTCAATCCACAATCAACACTCACCCTCTCAATCTATCATTTTCTCAATCAAAACTCACCCTCTCAATCTCTCATTTTCTCAATCAACACTCACCCTGTCATACTATGGATCTCTCATTTTCTCAATCATTCCTCTAATCTCTCTCATCTCTCTCTCTCTCTCTGAGATTTCTCTCTCAATCTCTCTTAGTCCCACTCTCTGCACTCTTCTCTCGAACTACCAAAGGAAGGACACAAGAGACGATTCAAACGAGCCAAAAAGCACACTGAAAAAGGACTGACTAATCGAGTAAAGGATGCAAACATTGTTGGGCCTGGCTTGCTGCTCACCATTGCCATTGTTCTATATCTTTTATCTCTTAGGTAACTAACCCTTTCTCTACATCTCTATATCACCACATACATTTCTATATCTATTAGTTGATTTTTCTTTGGTTGTAGCATATCTAGAAAACCCAGATTTTTCTTCGGTTGTAGCATATCTAAAAAACCTAGAATCCACTAATTATTCATGTGCCATCATTTTAATAAAAATTGTAATATAAAAAACCCAAAAAAATGAAGATCGGTTACCACTTTTTCAATTCGGATTAATGTAAAATTAGTGATACCGGTTTGGTTTCAAAAATATAACCACAGTTAGGTTACATACATACATATGCTAACATGTCATGTTTGAATCAATGGTTGCAACCCAAAGGAAAAAAAAAAAAAAAAAAACTGTTCAACCTCTAGGTTGGTTTCTAAAACATTGGCATGGATTAGATGAATGAGCACCACTGTTGTGGCCTTGTGAATTCCTTTAAAAATGATCAATGGTGGTTCGAATTCTACTATTCTAAGACATGATTATGATGTTGTTTGGTATCATTACTAATTTTACTTGAAATGCTACCACATCAACACCACCTAGGCATTTGGACTTTAAACACAAATTTTTTGTCTTATTGAGATCATCGAGTTAAAATAGTTGTGGAACATTTCTACTAGAAACATAAATCATGCAGAGTTAGGGGAAACATCAATTAGTCTCCTTTCATAGT